GTATCTTATAGATTTTAGAGATTAGATGCTGATTGGATTTGTCATAGCCAAAATTTTTTTTCCCCATCTGTAGGTTGTCTTTTTACTCTTTTGAAGTCTTTTGATGAACATAAGTGTTTGATTTTTAGGAGCTCCCAGTTATCTAGTTTCTCTTCTGGTGTTTATGCATTGTTACTTATGATTTGTATTCTGTTTATGCCATTATATTAGGGCTCCTAGCATTGTCTCTATTTTTTCTTCCATGATCTTTATCATTTTAGCTTTTATATTTAGCTCTTTGATCCATTTTGAGTTAATTTTTTTTTGCATGGTGTGAGGTATGGCTCTGTTTCATTTTTTTAGTGCTGTCATTTTGATGTCTTTTTTTGTGTGTTGATAATTTCTTTGTTCCACTTAATTTTCTGTGCTGAGTTGTTTTTCCTTATGTATTTTCTTTTCATCTTTTTCATTGTTGTTGATTTTGTATTTGCTGAGTCTTTATGTTTTTCTTATTTTTTATTTTGATGTGTAGGATTGTTAGTTTCCTTTGTGGTTACATTAATATTTACCCCTATTTTTCTAAGTTTAAACCAATCTTATTTCTTCATATCGCCTTGACTTTCTCTCCATATGAAAGTTCTATAACTACATTTTTTAGTCCCTCTTTTTTGTTTTAGTGTTAACATCTTTTACATATTGACGTCTCTGTTCCCTATTTTCAGTGTTTTAGCTTTGATTTATTTTTGCGACTTCCCTATCTGGGTTGATATCTGGTTGCTCTGTCCTGTGTTCTAGTCTTGGGTTGTTATCTGATGTTATTGATTTTCTAACCAGAGGACTCCGTTAGTATTTCTTGTAATTTTGTTTTGGTTTTTACAAACTCCCAAACTTATGTTTATCTGGAAATGCCCTCATTTTGCCATCATATTTGAGAGACAGTTTTACTGGAGATATAATTCTTGGTTGGCAATTCTTTTTCTTCAAGGCTTTATACATGTCATCCCATTGCCTTCTTGCCTGCATGGTTTCTGCTGAGTAGTCCAAACTTAGTATTATTGACTCTCCTTTGTAGATGACTTCTTGTTTATCCCTAGTCGCTCTTAAAATTCTCCCTTTATCTTTGATTTTGGCAAGTTTGAGTACAGTATGTTTTGGTGACTTTCTTTTGGGATCCACCTTATGTGGGGTTCAATGAGCATCTTGGAGAGATATCTTCTCATCTTTCACGATATCAGGATAGTTTTCTGCCAACAAATCTTCAACAATTCTCTCTGTATTTTCTGTTATCTGCTCCCTGCCATTCTGGCACTCCAGTCACAAGTAGGTTATTCC